GCTGCTGTTGGCAGTTCACACCAGTGTCCTGGTGCTGCTGTTGGCAGTTCACACCAGTGTCCTGGTGCTGCTGTTGATGCCCAGAACACTCTGCTTTTGTTCTTGGAGACTGAGCCTTGCTCTGCAACCCTGGCTGTTCTCAAACTCACTATATAAGGCCAGGTAGGCCTTGAACCTGTGGCAAGCTTTTTTTAAAAATTACATGTATTGATTTGTACGTATGTGGGGTGTATTATGTGTCAGTGTAGGCATGCAGAGGTCAGAGGACAACCTGTGGGAGTTGGGTCTCCCCTTCCAGCATGTGATCCCAGGACTCAGGTGTGGTGTTATATACACCTTTACCCCTTCTAAATCTCACGGACTTGGTGGCAGTCTTCTTGACTCTGCCTCTCCAGAGCTGGGATTAATGGTTTGTGTCACAGCAGCCAATTAGAAACCATTTTGAAAATGGGTGGTGCTGGCACACGCCTTTAATCCCAGCACTCGGGAGGCAGAGGCAGGTGGATCCCTGAGTTCGAGGCCAGCCTAGTCTACATAGTGAGTTCCAGGACTGCTTCCTGGAGAGACTCGAGGAGATTGATGGAGAATAAATAACAGCAGTATCTGCTGAGTCAGCAGAAAAGATCTGCTGAGTCGGCAGAAAAGATGCCCCACCCACTCAGGGTCAGGCGTGCTTTTATTATCTGCATCTCTTCCCGTTGCTGTGGGAAGACAGTCTTACTAAAACAACTGTAGGAGAAAGGGTGTATTTCTGCTGACAGTTCCCCGTTACAGCCCACCACATGGGCAATTCAGCCACAGGTGCTGAAGGGAGCCGATCCCATCACATCCACAAGCGGAAACAGCTATGGGCACAGGCATGCTGGTCAGCTCAGCTGGCTTCCTCCACTCTCATATGGCCCCGGGTCCCTGCTCAGGGAATGGTGCCTCTCACAATCAAACAGTCTTCCCACATGAAATCACACAGCCAGGACAGTCCCTCTCACACAGTTTCAACCTTAAGTTGGCCAGTTCCTCATAGGTGTCCCTGATGGCTTGTCTCCCGGGAGCCCAGTTCATTGACAATGCTAACCACTGCAGTAGGACAGACGTGACGAGGAGATGTAGACCCCTGGACTGCCTAAAACAAGTCTGATTTTCACGAAGCTGCATCCCTGGGGAGCCTACAGTCCTAACCACCGCAATAAGACAGAAGTGCAGAGGAGACAGTAGGGCCCTGGACTGCCTAAAGCAAGTCTGATTTTCACAAGGTTCCATCTCTCTGGAGGTAGGAAGGAGCTGAGTTGAGTTCTTTCCAGGTGGAAATTTCATCGATTATGACATTTTAAGCAAACCATTCAGGTGAGCACTGAGTCCTTTGGGGTAAGATGTTTGATCTTTAAGGTGGCACCTGGCAGGGCATGGCTCCATTGACCCTTTTGACTGACACCTGCCAGTGGTGACTTGACATCTAGTGACTTCTGCAGACTGAGCTGAGCCTGGGGGCTGTTCCCATGGACTTGAAAGAGCCTGGCCTGCTCTGGTCTCTTGGAATTTCTCCCCATCCTCTACTTGGTTCCTGGCCTAGCAGGCGATGAAGTCACTGTGCCATTCATTGCTAATGGAGATCTGCTCACAGGCAGCAGCTGTAGCCACCTTGGTCTCTGCCATGGCTTTCCTGTTCTTACCCTTGTCACCAGTCCTCTGTTCCCACTTAGACAACAAAGGAGAGGACTCACCAGGCAACAGGTCTATGCCTCTTATACTAGGCCGCCCCATTCCCTTTCCACTGTCTCTCAAGCATGGGATTGTTGGACAGGTTACCTCCTCTACATACGCTAAGACCCTAACTGGAAGCAAAGCCTCCAAGCTCCCCCCAGATCAGCTTCAGTGCTCACAAGGGGTAGGCAGAGACTCGAGCTGCTTCCCTTGCCTCCTGTTCAACCTGGTCCATACTGTGCTCTATGTCAAGTTGCACAATCCTGCATCCTGGGGTGGGAAGTCCTTCTGTATATGTGTTGCTTTTATTGATTAGTGAATGAAGCTGCTTTGGCCAACAGCAGAGCAGAACAGAGCAAGGCAGGAATTCCAAGCAGAGATAGAGGAGAAAGTAGGCAGAGTCAAGGAGATGCCATGTAGCTACCAAAGGAGTAAGATGCCCACTGGAGTCTGTCAGAACCTTGCTGATAGGCCACAACTTCGTGGTGATGCACAGATTAATAGAGAAGTGTTGATTTGAGATGTAAGAGTTAGCTAGAAATGTGCATAAGCTAACAAGCCAAGCAGTGTTGTGTAACATGAGGGCCAGCTTATTGGGGTTTCTGTCCCGCCCGGTACCCCACAGCCGACAAGTCCCAAAGAAAATCACACAGAGATCTCCATAAGTTATAAAACTGATTGGCCCATTAGCTCAGGCTACTTATTAGCTCTTGTAGCTTATATTAACCCATTATTCTTATTTATGTTAGCCGCATGGCTTGGTACCTTTCTCAGCAGGGCAGGTCACATCTTGCTTTGATGGTCTGGGATGGAGTGGAGGAATGGGCTTCCTCCTTTCTAGAATTCTCCTATTCTCATTGCCCAACCTCTACTTCCTGTCTGGTTGACTCACCTATACTTCCTGCCTGGCCAATCAGTGTTTATTTAAAACATGATTCACAGAATACCGACAATTCTCCTGTACCAGTGTTGTAATTAATACAGTTTCCTGTGTGATTATTTGGGTCCTGGGTGGCTGGGGAATGATCAAGCAGCTTCCACCTTTAGCATCCAGTCCATGTTGAAATCTCTCAAACTGTGTCTTACAATCCATGTCACAGGGATGGAGAGATGGCGCAGCAGGTCAAAGTGCATACTGCCATTACAGAGGACCCATGTTCAGTTCCCAGCACCCACATCATACTGTTCACAACCACCTTGAGTCTCCAGTACAACACTGTTCCTGAGGAGACATGAGAAACATCTACTCACCCAGGATAGGGTACCAGTCCAAGGTAACAACACCACTAAGGCATTGGTGAACCTATGAGTCCACTGGGGTCCCATATAGTAAGGGTAAGGAGTCACAGGGCAGATGTGGCTCAAAGACAGCTGCATCACCAAAGCCCACCCCAACATGGGTGACAGCTCCCAAAACCTGGAGGGCACTGCACAGCCTGCAGGCAGATAACAGCTGGAGAGGGTTTTCCAGGCAGCTCAGTTGGTGTGAGCCTCTTCCAGGCAGCAGGCAGCGGGACTGGTCTAAGAGTATCTCTCAGGAGTTCTTTCTGCTCGTACACACTTGGGGGAGTGAATCTGGTCAGTTTCAGGAACTTCTGGAAGGTTCTGAGTTGCTTGTTTTCTAAGCTTAAGGAACTTCTCTGCAGGATACTGATGTGGGATTTCCCTCTGTGTGCTGTGATTACCATTAATAAATAAAGAACTTCTTTGAACCTACAGCAGAGCAGGGCAGGGCAGAGCAGAGCTAGGCAAGGAGGACTGGTCTGAATGCTGGGAGAAACAAGGGTGGAGTCAGAGAGAAGCCTGCTGGAGACAGACACTGGAAACATTACCGGGTAAGCCACAGCCACATGGCAATACACTGATTAATAAAAATTGGTTAAATTAATATGTAAGAGTTAGCCAATAAGAAGCTAGAGCTAATGGGTCAAGCAGTGTTTTAATTAATATGGTCTGTGTGATTATTTTGGGTCTAAGTGACTGGGAACAAACAAGCAGCCCTCCTCTTACAGGATACAATGTTTCACTTTCCTGTAGAGCATTCTGTGTCTTAACAAGTTTCCCACTAAGATGGAAGGTTTTATCTAGAGCAGACTGTGACACAAGGGGATCTGATACCCTCTTTTGGACTCTGCAGACACATGCACAAACCACACACACACACACACACACACACACACACACACACACATTGAAAAAGAAACAGCCTTTCAAAAATGAGAGTTCATGTTGCATTAATTAGTTGATTGTTTCCTTTCTTATTGGTCATCTTAGTCCATTTCCATTGTGATTAGAACACCTGAGACTAGGTAACCCTTAAAGAAAATGAGGGCTGTTAAGTTGCGGTTCTAGAGGCACAAAGCCAAGGTTGGGTGGTGGGCAGAGAGAAACTGTTGCTTCAGGCAAGTGGGAGAACAAGAGGTATGGTGGGAGCACAAGCAGGCACGGTGGGAGCACGAGAAGATATGAGGGGAGCACGAGCAGGCACGGTGGGAGCACGAGCAGGCACGGTGCAAATTAGGGAATGAAAGAGATCAGGTGTTCATCACTACTCTTAGAGATAATGAATCCATGCCTGTGGGAACTGCACGAGGGTGGGATCTCCACGACCACTTCAACGAGTCTTCACATTGGAGCACTGCTGTGCTGGGTATGAAACTACAAAGCAAGTTCACCAGGGACAAACCATGTGCAGACTGCAGTGTTGGTGTGAGGACAAATGTTACAGCCACGATGGCTGAGACTCCAGGAAACATGGCGTTTTGCAGTCTGGTGAGATGGCTCCATGTGTGAAGGTATTCACATATTTATAAGAACTTGTGTTTATTTCTAGTTAATGTAGGAGGGCCCAGCCCACTGTGGGTGGCCCCTTTGCTAGGCCGGCCATCTGGTGTTACAGGAAGCTGAATGAGCATGTGCAAGTGAGAGAGGGAGTGATGTCGTGGTCTGTATTCCTCCGAGGTCTCTGGCTCAGTTCTGGGGTGAGCCCCCCTTTGACTACTCCACAGGATGGACTGTGCTCTGGCTCAGTTCTGGGGTGAGCCCCCCCTTGACTACTCCACAGGATGGACTGTGCTCTGGAAGAGTAAGCCAAAGTAACTCTTTCCTCCCATGATGCTCTTGGTTATGGTGTTTTCCACAACCACTTAGAGCAAATGTGGAAAGTGAGAACAGACTGCCCCAAGGTCTCTGTGGACCTTCATGTGTGTATCGTGGCATGTGCCTACCCACACATGTAATGCAAGCAACACATAATAAACAGCGACCTTTCTGCATGTCTACTATAGCACAATCTTATACCTCTCCCTTCTGCCTCGAGACTATGTTAATAATATATTATTTAGAGAGAAGGGTTTGTTTCTACACAGTTCAGAGAGGATTTCAATTTTTCTTTGACAAATATATTATCTCTATAAATATACACAAATAGCAAACACTAAAAAGATTCACTGGGGTGATGGGAACACATACTCTGTAAGAATGATGGTGTGTCATTTTTCTATGATGTGTCATTATTTCCTGTTGTAATATGATAATATGATGTGTGTGTGTGTGTTTGGGTACTTTTTTAATTTTAATTTTTTAGATTTCTTTTTTATATTTATTTTTTAAAAAAGAAAACAAAATATCTTTTTTTATTATACATACCAATCCAAGTTCCCACTTCCTCCCCTTCCTCCCAACCCCTCCACACCCTCCCATCCCACCCCATCCAATCCTCAGACAGGGTAAGGCACATTGCTTTGGGGAAGGTTCAAGGTCCTCCCTACTATATCTAGGTTAAGCCAGGTATCCATCCAAAGAGAACAGATTCCCAAAATGTCAGTACATGCAGTAGGGATAAATCCTGGGGCCACTGGCAGTGGCCCCACAGTCTGTCCTAGCCATGCATCTGTCAACCACAATCAGAGGGACTAGTTTGGTCATATGCTTTTTCTTTCCCAGGAAGGCTGGAGTTGGTGAGCTCCTATTAGCTCAGGTAAACTGTTTCAGTGGGTGTCCCCATCATGGTCTTGACCTCTTTGCTCATATTCTCATTCCTCCCACTCTTCAACTGGACTTTGGGAGCTCAGTCCAGTGCTCTGCTGTTGGTCTCTGCCTCAGTTTCCATCAGTTGCTGGTTGACGGTTCTATGGTGATATTTAAGATACTCATCAGTCTGACTACAGGGCAAGTTAAGATCAGGTCCCCTCTCCTCTATTGCTTAGGGTATTAGCTGGTATCACCCTTGTAGATCCCTGGAAGTTTCTCTAGAGCCAGGTTTCTACTAACCCTATAATGGCTCCCTCAATCAAGATATCTCTTTCCTTGCTCTCATCTCTGTCCTTTCCTCATCTGGACTATCCTATTTCCTCAAGTTCTCCTCACCCCTCCTCTCTTCTCCCTCCACCCCCATGCTCCCAATTTTGTCAGGCAATCTTGTCTGTCTCCAATTTCTAGGTGGATCTATATATGTTTTTCTTTGGGTTCACCTTATTACTTAGCTTCTCTAGGATCATGAACTATAGGCTCAATATCCTTTGTCTATAGCTAGTATCCACTTATGAGTGAGTACATACCATATTCATCTTTTTGGGTTTGGGGTGAGGATAGTATTTTCTAATTCCATCCATTTGCATGCAAAATTCAAGATATCATTGTGTGTGTGTGTGTTTTTTAACCACTGAGTAGTACTCTAATGTATAAATTGCCACATTTTCTTTATTCATTCTTTAGTTGAGAGGCAGCTAGGTTGTGATGGAGGAGGGTCATCTGTCTATGTAGTACTTTCATTGGTTAATAAAGAAACTGCCTTGGCCTTTGATAGGACAGAAAATTAGGTAGGCGGAGTAAACAGAACAGAATGCTGGGAAGAGGGCAATGAGGCAGACGCCATGGAACCAGCTACCAGGTCAGACATGCTGAATCTTTCCCGGTAAGCCACCACCTTGTGGTGCTACACAGATTATTAGAAATGAGTTAATCAAGATGTGAGAGTTAGCTAGTAACTAACTCTCTAGAGATAATGGGCCAGGCAGTGTTTAAAAGAATACAGTTTCCGTGTAATTATTTTGGGTAAAGCTAGCCGGGAGCTGGGCGGTGGGAATGCGGCCCACCGCTCATTCTACAAGGTTGTTTCCAGGTTTTGGATATTACAAATAATGCTGCTATGAACATAGTTGAACAAATGCCTTTGTAGTATGATTGCGCATCTTTTAGGTATATGCTCAAGAGTGGTATTGCTGGATCCTGAGGTAGGTTGATTCCTAACTTTCTGAGAAACCGCCATACTGATTTCCAAAGTGGTTGTACAAGTTTGCATTCCCGCCAGCAATGGAGCAGTGTTCCCCTTACTTCACATCCTCTCCAGCATAAGCTATCATTGGTGTTTTTGATCTTAGCCATTCTGACAGTGTAAGATGGTATCTCAGAATTGGTTTGATTTACATTTCCCTGATGGCTAAGTGTAACATAAAGGGGCCTGCTTGTGGGGTTTCTGTCCTGCCTGGTATCCCACGGCAGCCCCAAAGAAAATCACACAGAGGTCTCCATAAGTGATAAAACTGATTGGCTCAGGCTTCTTATCAGCTATTATGACTTATATTAACCAATTATTCTGATCTATTTTTACCATATGGCTCAGTACTTTTTTCAGCTGGCCAGGTCACATGTTGCTTCTTCGGTGATCTGGATTGGACTACAGAGGGAGCTTCCTGTTTCCCAGAATACTCCTGTTTTCATCGCCCCACTTCTACTTCCTGTCTGGTTGACCCACCTATACTTCCTGCCTGGCCAATCAACGTTTACTTAAAACATGATTCACAGAATACAGACAATTCTCCAGCATCAGCTAAGGATGTTGAATATTTCCTTAAGTATCTTTTAGCCATTTAAGATTCTTCTGTTGGGAATTTTCTGTTTAGTTCTGTACCTCATTTTTAATTGGATTATTTAGAATTTTGATGTCTAATTTCTTAAGTTCTTTATATATTTTGGAGATTAGTCCTTTGTCTGATGTGTGGCTGGTGAAGATAATTTCCCATTCAGTAGGCTGTTTTTTTTGTCTTATTGACTGTGTCCTTTGCTTTATAGAAGCTTCTCAGTTTCAAGAGGTCCCATTTATTTATTGTTACTCTCAGTGCCTGTGCTACTGGGGTTATATTTAGGAAGTGGTCTCCTGTGCCCATGCATTGAAGGCTACTTCCTACTTTCTCTTCTGTCAGGTTCAGTGTGGTCGAATTTATATTGAGGTTTTTATTCCATTTGGATTTGAGTTTTGGCATGAGGATAGATATGGATCTATTTCCATTCTTCTACATGTTGATATCCAGTTATGCCAGAAACATTTGTTGAAGATACTTTCTTTTTTTTATTGTGTAATTGATGATCAAACCAAGTGATGAACAGAAACTTGAAAGAAATCCCACAATAGCTCAGAAATGAGAAATAGTTATTTATTTAGGGGTAAACTCACAAATCAGAATTTTCTGCTTGAACAGTGGACAGAGATCGTATCCCACAACCCAATAATCCGAACGAGCAGCCGGCAAAAAAGAGGAAGGAAAAAAGGGGTGGACACAGACTCTGCATCCGTGTTTATAGTATAAGAGGCTACGCCCCAGTAGGCAGGTAACCACAAGCTATAAGCCTTTCTACAGGATATAATTTTAGCTTCTTTGTAAAAAATCAGGTGTTTATAGGTGTGTGGATTAATATCTGGGTCATTACTGTAGCTCTATAACAGAGCTTGAAGTTAGGGATGGTGATGTCTCCCGAAGTTTCTTTATTTTACAGGATTGTTTTGGCTATCCTGGGTTTTTTGTTTTTCCATATGAAGTTAATTATTATTCTTTCAAGGTTTGTGAAGAATTGTGTTGGAATTTTGATGGGGATAGCATTGAATCTATAGATTGCTTTTGGTAGGATTGCCATTTTTTACTATGTTGATCCTACCAATCCAAGAGAATGGGAGATCTTTCCATTTTCTTGTATCTTCTTCAACTTCTTTCTTCAAAGACTTAAAGTTCTAACAAAATCAAAAATGAAAAGGGAGACATAACAACAGACAGAGAATCATTAGGTCATACTACAAAAACCTGTACTCCACAAAATTGGAAAACATAAAAGAAATGGACATTTTTCTAGATAGATACCATATACAAAAACTAAATCAAGAACAGGTGAGCAATTTAAATAGACCTATAAACTGCAAGGAAATAGAAGCTGTCATCAAAAACCTCCCAACCAAAAAAAGCCCAGGGCCTTATGGTTTTAGTGCAGAATTCTACCAGAACTTCCAAGAAGAACTAATACCTATAATCCTCAATGTGTTCCACATAATAGAAACAGAAGGGACATTGACAGACTCTTTTATGAGGCTGCAGCTACCCTGATACCAAAACCACACAGAGACTCAACCAAGAAAGAGAATTACAGACCAATCTCACTCATGAACATGGATGCAAAAATACTCAATTAAATACTGGCAAGCCGAATCAAAGATTACATCAAAATAATCATCCACCATGATCAAGTTGGCTTCATCCCAGAGATGCAGAGCTAGTTCAACATATGAAAATCTGTCAATGTAATCCATCATATAAATAAACTGAAAGAAAAAAACCAAACGATCATTTCATTAGATGCTTAAAAAGCATTTGACAAAGTTCAACCCCCCTTCATGACAAAGGTCTTGGAGAGATCAGGAATACAAGGAACATATCTAAATATAATAAAAGCAATATACAGCAAGCTGGCAGCCAACATCAAATTAAACGGAGAGAAACTCAAAGCAATTCCACTAAAATCAGGAACAAGACAAGGCTGTCTACTCCCTCCACACCTCTTTAACATAGTTCTTGAAGTTTTAGCAATAGCAATAAGACAACAAATGGAGGTCAAGGGCATTCAGATTGGAAACGAAGAAGTCAAACTTTTGTTATTTGCAGATTATATGTTAGTATATAAGTGACTCTTATATACCAAAAAACTCTACCAGGGAACTCCTACAGCTGATAAATACCTTCAGTGATGTGGCAGGATACAAGATCAACTAAAAGAAAATCAGTAGCCCTCCTATATACAAATGATAAAGAAGCTGAGAGGGAAATCAGAGATATATCGCCTTTCATAATAGCCACAGATAACATAAAATATCTTTGAGTAACACTAACCAAAGAACTGAAAGACTATTTGACAAGAACTTGTAATATTATGTTTTTGTATGTCATCTGAAATTAGGCAGAGTTATTACAAACAGAATTTATGTAGCTCTTCTGATGGGAATGTGGTCCAAAGACCCTGAAACTGTGGATATCACAGAACCCAATGCTAACTGTGTCGTGCTTTCTTATGCACATACACCCATGGCACAGTTTAGGTTATAGACTAGGCAGAGTAAGAGATTATCTAACGATAAAATAAGAACACTTTACAGCATGTTGCGATAGACAGACCTGTTTATCATTTCCAGACACTGATGACCTTTGGTCCTGCCCCAGACAAAATCTCCGTTGGAGGAAGATTACTATGCTCAGCTGTGGATTGACATCTGGTGCAATGGTGAGAGGAGAGGGTGGGGAGGGGAGGGTTTCTACATGAGTCACCTCATTTAAATGATTCTTTGTTGTTTTTTCTATTTGACAAAAATGGAAAAAAATGATACTCATCTAGGTGTGGAGATGTTCTCCAGTTTGGGAGTGTTCCATTTGCAAAATCGATAGGAAAATTGGGCCCAAAACAAAACAACAGAACAGAAATATAAACAGAGAGCACAAAGCTTACACTCAAGAGTGCGGCTGTTTCAGTAGATCCTGAATCACCCAGAGAGAGGATCCCATTTGTTCAACTCATTTGCATTTTGGTAAACATTAAGAAAAATATCTACATGATTATTATAGGTTTTACTTTCTTCATGTATGAAATAATTTAAAAATATTGGTTGGAAATTATGTATAGATATAAACACCATATTATTGCTATGATGTGGACATTCTACTGAGTGAGTCCACTCTCCCTCCCTTCCTTCTCTCCCTCTCTCCCTCCCTTCTTCCTTCCTTCCTTCCTTCCTTCCTTCCTTCCTTCCTTCCTTCCTTCCTTCCTTCCTTCCCTCCCTTCCTTATTCCTTCCTTCCTTCCTTCCTTTTTTGCTTCCTTCCCTCCCTCCCTCTCTGCCTCCCTCCCTCCCTCCCTTCTTCTTTCCTTCCCTCCTTCCGTCCCTCCTTCCTTTCTTCCTTCCTTCCTTTCTGGAGTGAGCCCTTCCTTAAACAGAATTGAGTTATATGAAGTTCACGATCATCTTTCATTTCTCCCAGAAACAGCCCCTCTTCCCAGACTGCATCTGCAGCGTGAACTGCCAAGGGAGCTGATGCAGAAGACACTTCAAGTTCATGTGGAGTGGTCAAGTGGTACAGGAAGTAAGACTCGGAAAACCTGTCATTGTGAGCGGATGCTAACACTGTGGAGTATCTGCCAAATTTATAAAATTTCTCACTGTTTTGTCTAGTGGCCTCCTTTAGATTTACATAATATGTAACAATGTAGCCTTCAGAATTGTACCAAACAGAGAATAATGATTTCTGCTAATAAAAGTCTAATTTAAGAAAGTTCTGAAGGTGGTGGCACACACCTTTAATCCCAGCACTTGGGAGGCAGAGGCAGGGGAATCTCTGAGTTCAAGGCCAACCTGGTCTGTGTAGAGGTTCCAGGACAGCCAGGGCTAAACAGAGAAACTCTGCCTCAAACACACACACACACACACGCACACACACACACACACACACGCGCACACACACTCCTTTGTTAGCTCAAAGAAAAGATGAGCTCTGGAATGTGAGTGTTCTCAGTGTGCAACTGCCGTCTGTTAGATGCCGTCAGTTAACACCGGGAGACCGAGAACAAGCGGTGTGGTGTAATTTTATGTTTTGAGAACTGTCACTGTAGAATAAACTCTGGGTTCAGTCACACAATCACCTACTGTTATCTACCCTGTTTTCGGGCAACTCTGTCAGTGTTCCCCTCTCTTTCTTCATGCCAACTACTGACACGTGGATCTCTGAATATAAAATAATTCTGAAAATCCGAAACACTCACAGGTGAGGAGTCACAGAGCTGTTCTTGGCGGCCGTCTTAAGAGCGGTACTTAATATTCACACGGAGAGAATTAAGTCTCTATCTCTGAAGACGTTGTGAGGTACTGGAACAACCTCGCTGAAAATTACCATCTCTCCAGTAAGGGCTGGGAAGGTGGTTCCGTGGTTAGAGCACTGGCTGCTTCTGCAGAAGATGTGGATTTAGCTTCCAGAATCCACATGGCAGCTCACAAGCACCTGTAACTCCAGTTCAGGGAATCCATTTTCTGGCCTTTGTGCGTACTTACACACACACACACACACACACACACACACACACACACACACACACTTGAACACACATACACACATCCTTGAAAAAGGAAGAAAGAAATGTGTGATATTTTGATTGTGTTCTGTTTTGATTGTGCTCTCAAAACTGTCAATAAAATTTGCTTTGTATCAGAGGGCAGAGCTAGCAACTAGTTGGCTAATGTCAACCATAGAGATTTTGGAGGACTGAGGACAGATAGAGAGACAGGAAGTAGCAGGACAGGTCTTAGAGAGAGGGTGGCCTTTTTTAAATGAGGAAAAAGAAAGAGGAGGTCACTGGTCACTTCTCGGCTTCTCTGATCATTCAGGTTCTTACCCTGATATCTGACTCCTGAGTTTTTATTGATAAAGAATAATTAGATAAGCTCATTGAAGAAAGACTGTCATGAACACCTGTAAGTGACAGTATGTGAAGCCTGTTAGTTTGATGATTATGGTCATTTCCTGCTCTGCATTCTTATTGTCCAGATTAATGTCTATTGTCCTTAAAAAACTGGAGGCTTAACCAGCTGTGCCTTTCAGTGGCAACTGTTTAAAATGTGAATGAAACCAAAATACAAAATGGAAAATTTAAACATTCTCTTCCTTTCTCTTTCTTTTTCTCCCTTTCTTTATTTCTTTGTTTCCTTCCTTCTCCCTCTCTCCCTTGCTCCCTCCTTCTTTCCTTTCTTTCTTTCCTCTTCTTATTTGAGACAGGGTCTGATAATAGTTGAACTGTTTTCCAATTATGTAGCATTTGGCCTTGAACTCATGATCCTTCTATTCCCACTCCACATATACCAAGTGGTGGCATTATTGTTTCTATAGCTTTAAATATTTCATAATTTTGTCTGTTTTAGAGTTCATAAAGCATATTTATTAAGGATACATAGCAAAAATAATAACAATTATAAAAATTTACCCATACAGGAAGAAAACAGTAAGTGTTCATTTGACTTGGGGATAAATAGTGGAAACAAATAATAGATATATTATAGTTCTGTAAGTAAAATATTGTTCACAGAAATGCTGAACATTATTAGTAAGTTTTTGAATTTCTTTAGCATTTTAACTTTTTTTTTTTAGTGGGAAAATATCTGACACTCCTGAATTATAAAACAACCTCATCTATACGACCTTCCTATTGCTTGATGGTCTACATACTTAATAGATATCTTTAAATATAAGTGTTGTAGTTTGGATGTGGCTTGCTCACTAGAGACCCATGTACTTCCTCTCCAGTGTGGTGATGCTGGTAGGGACTTGGAGAGGTGGAGCCTAGTGGGAGGTGGAGCCTAGTTGGAGGTGGAGCCTAGTGGGAAGTGGCGCCTAGTTGGAGGTGGAGCCTAGTGGGAGGTGGAGCCTAGTGGGAGGTGGGGCCTAGTGGAACGTGGTGCCTAGTGGGAGGTGGAGCCTAGTGGGAGGTGGAGCCTAGCGGGAGGTAGAGCCTAGTGGGAGGTGGAGCCTAGTGGGAGGTGGAGCCTAGTAGGAGGTGGAGTCTAGTAGAAGGTGGAGCCTAGTGGGAGTGGAGCCTAGTAGGAGGTGGAGCCTAGTGGGAGGTGGAGCCTAGTGGAAGGTGGTACTTAGTGGGAGGTGGAGCCTAGTAGGAGGTGGTGCCTAGTAGGAGGTGGAGCCTAGTGGGAGGTGGAGCCTCATTGGAGGCGGACCCTAGTGGGAGGTGGTTTCTAGTGGAAGGTGGTGCCTAGTGGGAGGTGAAGCCCAGCGGGAGGTGGCACCTAGCAGGAGGTGGTACCTAACAGGATGTGGTCCTAGTGGGAGGTGGAGCCTAGTGGGAGGTGGTCTCTAGTTGGGGGTGGTACCTAGTGGGAGGTAGAGCCCAGCTGGAGGTGGAGCCCAGCAGAAGGTGGTACCCAGTGGTAGGTGGTTGACTCACCAGGGCTGAGTTAGTCACTGTGAGTGCGTTGTCCAGCCATGGGCTTCCTTTGCGCTTAGCCTTATTTGCATTGTTCCTCCTTTTCTTTCTGAGTCCCCCCACGCTGTGATGCAGCCAAACTTGCCCTCCTGAGTAGCCACATAGATGGAGCCTCAGATCTTGAACCTCTGGCTTCAAAACTGAGCTAACTAGGAATCTCTTTATTACAAAACACTCAGGCCATGCGTTTTGTCAGCAACAAACAGTGGAATGGACATTAAGTTTGTTCATACGTGTGCTTTCGAGGGCAGGGATCATTATACGTACAGCAAAGAGAGGAATACGAGAAATCCAGGGGCTTAATTTTTCCTGCGAAGCCGAAAGAGTCGAATTTAGAGTTTAGCATTTTGTTTTAGTAACGAGGAGGTTTGCCTCCTCTCACTGGCGCAGCTCCTCCTTCAGTGGCTCTATGCCTGTCTTACATGTCCTAATGCAATTCTAATGCATATACGGCAGTTTACAAACATTCATTCTGCACCTGAGTTCTGATTATGGAAATCAGTCTTCATGTAAGATGGATTGACATTACCTTAGCCATGCCTCACACAATGGTAACTTCCTTTTTCTCAATGCTCTATTGTGCATGGCTTCCAAAACTGTTTTTCCTAGGTGTTAGGTAGGCCAAACTCCTTGTAAGTACATATAACTTCATCTTCACTCTCATATAAATGTCCCTCAGGGTGCTTGGCACATCCAAGATGCTCAGTAAATATTTGCCGAGTGCGTACAGTGACCACAGTACATCCCATTTCTTCAGTCAGCTGCAGCTTAAAACATTGAACCACTCCCATTTCTTTGCTTTACCAGAGAACCGTTGGAGAGATGAGGCTATCTTTAGTTTTGTTTCCAGGGCAAGAGCTCATTGGCTACAAATTGATTTAGTTGTGGCTGAAAAAGAGAAACAAATAAGCTAAGAGTAACGCCAGGGAGGTTCTGCGTGGTGGTTGTTTTTCTTGTCAGGAGACAGAGTAAGGAGCAAAGACTACAGAGTAACGAGCAAAGATAACTTAAGGGGGTTTTGTTTGGCTCATGGTTTTCAGGCTTACAATCCATCATGGCAGTAAAAGCTTGCCAGAGATTCTGATGTCTATGTCAAGTCTATGTCTTGATGAACCAGAAATCAGAGAGGAGCTAGGACACCAGCAAGGTTATAAACTGCAAGGCTGGTCCCCAGATGCCCTCTTCCATTGCTAGACCCCACTTCATCCCTGAAGCACGAGCTGCTGCAGACTAAATGTTCAAACACATGGGATGGGGGGCATCTCACATCCAAACTGTGACATCTAGTTGGGTGTAAGGAGCCTCAGGACGTCGCCATTATGGCACTGGCGGTCCTGCAGCTTGGAGGTAAACAAATCCTTTTGAAGTTGCCGCTCACCCTTGGTCTGTATTTGCATAACTGAGCCTTGTTCCCTAGCCCGAAGCCCCCCACCCCAGCTTCAGCAGAATGGTATTCACCAATCAGGACAGTTTCCGAGCCTCTCCACCCTAGAAAAGCAGCTGCCTCTGGGTTTTTCCGCTATTTCTCGTCCCACACTATCCCTTCAACCGAGAGGCTCCAATAAAGTTGTGATTTGAGAAGAATTCTCGATTTCGTGGTCGTTCTTGCTTGCTGGTCAAGGAGCGCGCCACAGTTGGGGTCTGGGGAGAGAGAAAGCTGCACTCCCATCATTTGGAAGGAAGAAATGAGTGGCTATCAGAAGCGCAAGTGTGACTGATCAGAGCCACACTGATGGAATCACGAGGGAGGGAGGCACAGTTTGGTGGAACACGTGGCAAGCAGCGGCGAGGGCTAGAGTGTCAGTCAACTCTGAGACATAGCTTCCCGTTTTCCCATATTTTGCCTAAGAATAGATTGAATAGAGTACAGCAAAGGGGAAAAACTTAGCTCAATGTTGTTAGAAGAATATACTAATACCTTAAAACCAAATAATTTTAAACTGTGAGCATACCATGTAAACTTTATGTAGGTTGGTAATATGGCTGCCGAAAAACCAACATGGTGGGTCTTTACACAAATATGTGTTTGCCTATATGTGGGGGGCATGGTAAATATAAACGGTTCTTTTGTTTTTATAAACATGACAGGGATACCTTTTCATTAGCTTAAAATTTTGTTGCATTTCTTTATTTGCATGCGCATGCTATGGTATGCGTGTAGAGGTCAGAGGACAGCTTGTGGGAGTCAGTTCTCTCTTTCCATGCGGGTCCTGGGGATTGAACTCAGGTCACTGTTGATGAAAGCAGCTTGAGCCATCTTACTGGCCCCTCAATGATTCTATGCATCAGAAGTAAGAGGAAATTATAGAATGTTGTATAAATTATAGAAGCTTAGGAGGTTGTGTGGTTGGGTTGGAATGTTACCATGGTAGGATCTGGACGCACCAAGGATTCCAAGTTGTGGACATCTGTGTAGGAGTTTCCACACCAGGTTAATGGAGACGGAAGACTCATCTTAAACCTGGGCAGCACCATTCCACAGACTGGTAGTCCCAGCCGCATAAAGAGAAGAGGGAAAGCGGAGAAGGAGAATTCACACCGCTCTGCTTAAAGACTAGCTGCTTCTCCACCATGCACCCCGCTGTGCATCCCGCCGCCGTCCACCCCGTAGCCGTGCACCCCGTCGCAGTGTGCCCCGTCATTGTGCGCCCCCCGTCACCATACACCCCGTCGCCGTGCACCCCGTCATCGTGCGCCCCGTCACCGTGCACCCCGTCACCGTGCACAGTGCCGCCGTGCCTTCTCCACCACTGCACCCTTCAACCTGGAACCACACTAGATCCTTCCTTCCTCAAATTACATTTATCAGGTGTTTTGTCGTAGCAACAAGACGACTGACTGACAGAGAGGCACCAGTAAGCGTCATGAAGCATGGTGGCTTGCAGTAGGAGCAGCGTGCTTTTCTGGAGACCATTCTGCAGTCTCCTGCGCCCACCTATCCCTGTGTCCCTCGCCATGTTGTTTTCACAGTGTCTCAGCGGTTCTGCCACACAGACAGGCTCTTGGGTGATCCAAGAGGACGTGTGTATTAAAACCTGGTGTCCTGTGGTCTCCCTGGACTGACAGCTCCGAGTGGAGGTGACATCCGAGGTAGGTGTCTTCCCCTTGGGGGAAATAAAAGTCTGTGTGAAGCAGCTGTGAAGACCTGACTTTTAAAGAACGATTTTGTTTTCTCTGCTGTAGACCTTTTTTTAACAGGAAAGATCCTGGGTCTTGTGACATTCGTTGTTGAGAGTAGATGGGTGGATTTGGGAGCGTAGCCGAGTTGAGGTCCATATATTTGCCGATCATCTATAGACAGCTCCTAGTTAAAAGAGGCCAGCATTTTATCTCTGTCAGCGTTCCGTCATTTATTGCTAGGACTGTTAAATACAATACCTGCTCTAGTTGGTAAATTGAGACTATAATAAAAAGGACACCAAATCTCTGCTTAATCTGATGCTGTAACTAAGGCCAAAACTATGGCTCAGTAGCAGTCCTCTCCTGGAACACAGTACCTCCAGACAAGCAGGCAGGCCCCAAGCCCTGATAAGGCTGTCATGAAGGGCTGCATTCCAACCTCGTCAGCTTCTGCCAAGATGGGTGGATTCCAGTCCTAACAGGCTTCATGAATTTCTAATACACACGTTTTCCATCGAGATGTCCTTAGAGATGAGATACTGGCTGTGCTGGCTGGGTTGTGTGTTAACTTGGCACAGAGTCATCAGAGGAAGGAGCCTCAACTGAGGAAATGCCTCCTTGAGATCCAGCTGTAGGGCTTTTACTCATCTAGCCATCAGTGTGGGAGGGCCCAGTCCATGGAGGGTGGTGCCATCCCCGGGCTGCTGGTCCTGGGTTCTATAAGACGGTGGGTTGAGCAAGCCAAGGGAAGCAATCCAGTAAGAACCACCCCTCCATGGCCTCTGCATCAGCTCCTGCCTCTGGAATCCTGTCCTGTTTGAGCTCCTGTCCTGACTTTGTTCAGTGATGAACAGCAATGCTGAAGTGTAAAACAAACACACTCTTTCTCCCCAACTTGCTTTTTGGGTCACGGTGCTTTGTTGCGGCAAACCCTGGCTAAGACACTGCCTAGAAGGTGAATGGTAGGGAGGCCACTGCCTCCTGACAGGCTCTGGCGGGTCTCACTGTGGGGAATGTGGGAGGCTCTGTCCTTGCCTCCCTTGCCCACCGTCTTTGTTGAGACAGGTCCTCGCGTGTGAAGAGCCATCCTTGAGCTTGCGCTGTAGCTAAGGGTCACCTTGAAACCCTAACCCTCCAGCTTCTACCTGCTGAGTGCTGGGTTCACGGCTGTTTCATGCAGCTGCGGAGGTTGGCACACTACACAGGCGTTCTAGGAGCCGAGTCGGCAGTTTCTCACAATATGCCCCAGTCGGAAAAGATTCGTGAGAACACGAGAGACCGTCTCCAGGCTCCGGCCGTGCATTCTACTCACTGTTCTCTTCTCGGCCTTGCCTTCAGTCTACCGTGTCATTATTAGGTCTTTGAAAAAGCCTGTCACATAATTTCCCTTTGGATACGGTTTCCTAAGACCAAATGTCATTTATCGCTATACGATTCTATGTTTTCAGAAAAGGCGCCTGTCGTTTCGATCTCGCCCACCTCCTTTTCCATCTGTTGTTTTCCACACACGGCTGCCCTCAATCTGCGCTTCTCCTGCCTCAGCCTCCTGAGCACTAGGACTAGAGGTGTGTGCCGTTCTGCCTAACTAATTCGTCATAGCTACTGCAAAAAGCATTATGGGAATATTATTTTGCTATTTTTATATTTTACTCATGTTTTTTGAGACAGGGTTTCTCTGTGTAGTCCTGCCTGCCTGTCTTGGAGCTCACTCTGTAGACCAGACTGGCCTTGAACTCACTGAGATTCACCTGCCTCAGCCTCCTGAGTGCTGGGATTAAAGATGTGCGCCGTCACACCTGGTTGTCACCCTATAAATAATGTTATATTATTACATTTTCTTTTAAAAATGATGTGTGTATATATATATATATACATATATATATATATATATATATATATATATATGTCTGTGTGTGGGTGTGTGCACATGAGTGCAATCTTGGTAGAAGCCATGGAGGGCAATGGATCCCTGGAGCTGGAGTTAGAAGTGGTTGTGCATGCCTGATACGGATACTGGGAATGGGGCTTGGGGCTCAGCAAGAGAAGTATGCCCTCTTAGCTGCTCAGCACCCCTCTAGCGCTTATTCCATGTTCATAAGACTCACGGACCAAGATCCATGCCAACACTGATCTGCCGTTGTTCAACATTTACTTTATTAGCAATTCTGTGTAACTGTGAATGTAGCATTTTTGATACATCAGCTTATTCCCTTAGGACACACTTTTACATTCTCATGCCAACATTTAAAGTGATTAGATAAGACATCATGTTGTTTACTTGGCTGTCCTCGTTGAAGTCTTCCTGTCAGACATCATGGTCATAGTGAGATGAAAATGGAAGTCTCTCCTTTGTCAGCGCAGCTCTTGTTGGGTGGTCCCACGGGCGGACTGAGTGTGAACTGCACTAGGCTCAGAGAACAGATGTGAACAGTTGTGGGAGAGTCTCTTCCTATACTGTGAGGCTGTGTCTTTTCCGAGGCACCTTCTGATTGGTTTAATAAGGAGTTGAACGGCCAGTAGATAGGCGGGAGAGGATAGATGGGATTTCTGAGGAGGGAGAGGGGAAGAGGAGAAGGAATCTAGGTGCGTGGAATTTACCAGCAGACTTGAAGCAAGTAGGACGTGCTGTACTGAGGGAAGGTAAAGAGCCCCATGGCAGAATTACAAACATTTGGGTTACTTAAGTTGTAAGAGCTAGTTGGAAACAAGCCTAGACTAAAGGCCAAGATTTCATACTTAATAATACGTTTCCGTGTCATTCTTTTGGGGCTGGATCCAAAGACAGTCTGACAAGAAAGCTTGCTACCGTGAATGTTCCACACAGACACAATCCAGTTTCTTCCTTGCAGTACGCGGTTTTCATCTCTGCAGACTCTCTGAAGTCTTTCACTTCCTGTTAGCTTTTACCAGCCAGCAAGGACCTTCTGGACGTCAGGCCAGGGTTCAAATCCTGATAGGAGCAATTGAGATCAGTGCAGAGACCCTCAAGGGATCTTGGAAATGAGCCCATGCCTTGCAAACCTCTCTTGGTATTTTAGAACCTTAACTGGCCACGCGACACTCTCTGTGTACACTGATGCCCATGTTACGGAGTTTGTAGGCGTGTCTGTCCTTCCCCGGTGATGCCAGCATAGCAGTGCAGTTTCTCCGTGGGTGTTATGTGCTCCATTCTGAGAAACGACCGAAAGCCTTGACTTGTGGAAGTTAGCGTTCTCACATGGCATCTGCAGGTGGTTACTTAGACATCTTTTAAAAAAATAAATGTATTATTTATTTATTTTAGTATCACACTATTCCTTTGTTATGTCTACCTGTTTAAAAAAATGATTTCTTTTGCATATATTAAAGGAGGTCTCTGAGAGAACCCACACGCCAGTCATTAGCAAGTGCTTGCTTGTGTTCCCAGACGGTCTGGCGTGTGTATGGAAGAGCTGTTGAGGAAGTCTCTGGAGGTGTTGCTGGCAGGGGCTCAGGCACTGGTGGCATTGTGCTCTGGTGGTGACATCTGATTGTGAGGTATCTGTGACACCCATTGTCGCTTGTCTCATCATCTTAGCAACTAGCATTTATTTGAGCACTTGCTTCATGCCAGGCTCTGCCATGCCAAAGTTATTAAACGTGTTTCCTAATCTAGACCATTACTGCAGGCATCATTATTGTGCTCACTCTCCACATAAGGCAAATGAGGGCCCAGGGTTCACTATTTGCATAAATTTTGGCAAAGAGTTGATTCGTGAACTGGTATCCTCGCTAATATTTGGATGAATCTCAATTCTCGTTTATTCTTTTCCCCTTCCCCTCCCTGCTCCTCCTTCTCCTCCTCTTCTTCATTCCTCTGCGCTGGCGATCAAAACCAAGGCCTCCTGGATGCTCGACAGATGCTCTCCTGGTGAGCTATACACACCCCAAGTCCTGAGCATATGCTTTACAATATTCCAAAAGCTAATACCTTGTGTTCATCGTGAACACAATGCTTCTGACTGCAGCATCCTTGATAGGTCTTGCAGGGCCGAGATGCTCTGGTCAGAAGAAAGTATGAGGAGTGTCAGTATGTCTAGAACTGTGATCCTACAAACTAGGTGGGAGAATCTTTCTCACCATTAAAAATTAACTCTCCAGGTTATCATGACAAAGTGATGGGTTTCATTATAGTCATATCATACATGTATGTCATGATACTTGGTTCTCATTCATAGGCCCCCATTCTCTCCCATGCCCCATTCTTCTGCTCCAGGTTTTCTTTTTTTCCCCCAGAGGTAATTCCAACTTCTTTCTTATCACAGATAGTCCACTGCTTTCTCCATTTCCCACCTCCCTTGAGATCACTTCCTCCCCTCTCGTGAGCCCTCTTTTTAATTTCATGATGCACACACATGTGCACACACATGTGTATAGTATGCATAGTTTCCAATCTGTGTTCTGGATCAGTGGTTAAGAACACTTTATGTGTAATCTTGAGGACCAGGGTTTGTATCCCAGCAACCACAGAACCAGACAGGTTTCCTGCACACACCTGTAATCCCAGCTCCAGGGGCCAGGGGTGGAGACAGGAAGCTTGCTGGAACTTGCTGCATTCCAGCCCAGCTGAGAATGAGAGAGCCTCCGCCTCAGGGAGAAACCTCGCCTAAAAGGAAAAAGTAGAGGGTGAGCAAGGAGGGAACCTGCCACACTCTTCCGTCCATTGCACGCACACACAGACACACATCCAATAAATAAATAAGTCCTTAAATCTAGGTTATGCATGTGAAGTTATGCATGTGAAGAAGATGTGGATTTAATTCTCAGCACCCATATGGGGGGTCTCACAAATGTCTGTAACTCTAGTCCCAAGGGATCCAATACCCTCCTCTGGCCTCTGGGGGCACCAGGTATGCATGTAGTGCCCAGGCATACACACAGGCAAAACATTCACACATATAAAATAAAATTCGTGTTCAGGAGAGAGGTGTGCATTGCTGCTGCTTTGCAGAGCCCATCCCGCCCCTTGCTCAGGAGAGAGGTGCGCATCGCTGCTGCTGTGCAGAGCTCACCCGGCGCTGTGCTCAGGAGAGAGGTGCGCATTGCTGTCCCCCAGCCACTCCCGAATCTGGGTGTGCAGACAGCCATAAAACCCATGTGGCAAATTATACAAATTGATGAATTTGATATATTCTTTTGAAAAATCTTTTGTGTATTTGAAGTTATTAAAACAACAGCAGCAAACAAACCGAGAATAAGTAATGTCTGCAGTTGAGACCTGTGTGCTGGTCAAGGTTTGTGTGAGCCCCATCTCCCAGGCTGTGCCCACATCTATCCGCGTGGTAGATCTTCACTGTCAACCTGAGCCTCGGAGACACACCCAGGCATGTGTTAGGTGTTTCCAGAGATGACTGTGGAGAGGAGACCCACTCTGAATGTGGCGACTCTATCCTATGATACTGAGTCTCAGATTGAAGAAAAGAGGGAAATGAGACAGATGACTGATCACAATGTTCCCCCAATCACAGGGACCTTTTCAGTACAGGTCTTGTGAACGGGCTGTACCACCACGAGGAGGACTCAAATCTCCAAAGGTAAAAAGGAGGCAACCTTAGCAGAATCTGCAGCATTAAGGGTAGATTCAAGAGGGCCTGGAAGTGGCCAGTCTGTCTGGCTCCCGCTCCTCCATTTCAGGGAACTGTGTGCTGCAGAGTTCTGTAGCGGTTGAGACCTCACTTTAGTGTGAAGCAGAGAACCCACATTTGGGACCCACCCGGCTAGTAGCCACGGCTACTCTTCTGCATTGGCCAAATGTGCAGAGGTCCAAAGGATGAAAATCACATGCCTGACTCTTGGTCCACCGGGGTTCCAGTTCCCATCACAATGCCCCAGCGGCTAACATGTGAAGAGTCCACCACATCTGTGGTGCTTAATGCTGGGTAACATGGATGGTCGACAGGACACAGAATACCTGGGACAGAGTATAGAATATAGACCCCTGGGCACGCCTGCGCAGAGTCTTTTAGATTAGGTAACTGAGGAGGGAATGTGGACAGCGCATCTCGGACCAGACTTCGGGATGAGGGAAAGCAAGAGGAGAAGCATTCATGTCTCTCCGCTTCCTGACCAAGTATCATGTGGTCAGCCATCTTGTGCTTCTGCTGCCACGGCTTTCCTGCCATCATGGTCTGCAGCCTCACACCGTGGGCCTAAACAATCCTTCCATTCTTAAGTCATAGCGATGTGGAAAGTCACTGATACAGCATCCTTCCTCAGAGCTGACTCCCTCATCTGTAGAGGCCTAGAGGAGACAAGATTAGCATTTTAAATGGGACTGGGATAGCGTGTGATTGTACATTCCTTCCTTCCCTTTTTTCCTGAGGGTGGTGACAATTTCTCATTATGCAGCACAGGGTGGCCTAGAACTCCTGATTCTCCTGCCTCAGCCTCCTAAATGCTGGAATTGCAGGTGTGTGCCATCATGCTTGTGCCTACGTATGTGTTGTGTGCGTCCTGTGTTCACATATACATGTGTATTTATGTGTATATGAGCCAGAAGTCAGTGTAAACTATCTTTGAGTGCTCTCTGCCTTGGTTTTTTGAGATGTACCTAGATCAGCTAGACTGGCTTGTCAACTGGTTCTGGTGTCTTTCTGATCGCTTCTTTCCCAGTGTAGATATGTGTTGTCATCCCCGGGATTTTATGTGGGTCCTGGGGATTCAAACTCATCTCCTTACCCTTGTCTGGTAGTCTGTTTACCAGCTGAGCCATCGCCTCAGTTAATTTTAACAAGAAGAAGCCAAAAGCCCAAAAGTGGTCCTTGATGATTTATTAAGCAGTCAAATGTGTAAATTCGGTATAGCATTGTTGAAAGAGAATGACTTTTTAATTCTATAGTTTATATGAACCTCATAAATCAGACTGCTCAGTAAGCCAGCTGTATTTTTAAAATTATATTCATTACAAGGGAAAGAAGAGAGGAAAACAATTCATGACACATTCAGTGATGGGACTATAGTGATATTTTGTTTGTAATCTAACAAAACTTGTCTGAAGATCAGAGTGCAGAGCTACGCCACTGGTTAGCCATAGAGGCCAGGCAGTGATTAAAGGCACACACCTTTAATCCCAGCACTTGGGAGGCAGAGTCAGATGAATCTTTGCAAGTTCAAGGCCACTCTGGGCTACAAGAGATTGATCCAGTCTCAAAGAGAAACAGCCAGGCAGTGGTGGCTCACACCTTTAATCCCAGCACTAGAGAAGTGGAGCCATATGGCTGGGCAGAGAGACGAATATAAGGCGGGAGGAGAGAGAGCTCGGATGCGTTCTGGGGATTCAGTCTGAGCATGCAGTCTGAGGAGATGTTGTAGAGGTAAGGACTATGGCTGACTGCTCTGCCTCTCTCAGCTTTCCCCTCCTAAATCTCCGACTCTGGGTTTTGTTATTAATGCCAATTAGAATTCATGCTACAGGGGACACCTAGTGAATCCTTCATAACTCTGTCCAACTGATCACTGAATTGGATTCTTTACTGGAAGTTCATTTTTAATACATTCAATACCTGTGAATAAATGTCTCAGATATTACACTCTGCCTGATTTATTGCCTCTATAGATTTTTAGGGCCGGTGACTGCCACTTTTGCCGAAGATTCATGGTTTTGGTGGCACAGGAGACTGACTGTCATCTGGTTAACCTTGTATTCTCAACATCTACTCTTCATTTGAGATTATAACCATAAAATATTTATTAGCTGGATGGTGATGGCACAGGCCCTTAATTCCATCACTAAGGAGGTAGAGGCAGGTGGATCTTTGTAAGTCCCAGACTAGCCTGGTCTACAGAGTGAGTTCTAGGACAGTCAGGGTTATACAGAGAAACCCTGTCTCAAAAAACAAAACAAAAAAATTAAATAAATATGAAAACCACAAAATATTATTTTATCAGTCCATTATTTAAATTGTGGTACTAGAGCTAAAGTCCAGGGCCTGTTTGGTCAGTGTTCTGCCCCTGAGCCACACACCAGCCCTCAGGACCCCATGAAGGGTGAGCAAGTCAGATGCTGATCACTCTCAGGATATTTCTAGTGCAGTGAATCAGCCTGGAGTGTCATGGATGTGGTTCTGGGGTAAAGTGCTCACTGTGGCTGAGGCCCAGGACCTATGTAAATCTGGGCATCATGATAGGCACAGCTAACCCATGTAACTGGGGTTTGGACATGTGGTGACCCTTAGCACTCTCTGGACAGTTAGCTAGCTGATGGTAAGCTTCTGGTTCAGTGAGAGATCCCACTTCAAAACAAACAAATGCCCCTCAAACTTCCCACACAACAGCAACAAAACAGCAAGGTGGAAAAGTAGCTGAGGAAGATATCCTGATGCCAAACTCTGGCCTCTACAGTTGTTCATACAGTATGTATATGTATACATACATACACATGTATACCACATATGTAACACACACAGAGTACAGAAATAATAAGAGACACATCTATGTAACACACACACAGAGTACAGAAATAACAAGAGACACATTCATGTAACACACACACAGAGTACAGAAATAATAAGAGACACATCCATGTAACACACACACAGAGTACAGAAATAACAAGAGACACATCCATGTAACACATACAAACACACACACACACATAGAGTGCAGAGATAAAAGATAGACACATCCATGTAACACACATACACAGAGTATAAAGGTGCCTCAGGAAGATGGTGTCATACCCTAGGCAACTGGATTTCTATCCTGGACCTCTTGGTTTTTAGGAGACCCTACTCTGGGTCAAGGCTGATTTCACTAGGAACCAGAACTCTGAAACCCAGCCTGAGGCTTCATCAGTTTGTCAGCGTAAATATTCATCCCCTCATTTGTTCAAGTCACCCTGCCTGTGTTAGGGAGCCTTCGGGATTTAGGTCAATAGCTGTTAAGTGTGGATTGGATGTTAGCAAGGACCATCACAGAACACAGCATGCAAGTCCCCTAAATAACAGGGCCATCAATCACCTCAGAGTTAGGACTCAGGGCCCATCTTTTGGAGGGTTCCCAACACTAACACCACGAACATGGACAGGATGACTCCCATCATGGATAGGGAACTTACTAAATTCCTGTTTTCTGTGGGCTCAGGTGGAATGAGGGGGAGGGGGAGAGGCAGTGGGAGTGCACGCACACAATCAGCTTCTTGCTGAGTCCCGGAGAAGTGGGCTTTGTCCCGCACTGAGACTCTGCCCTTCCCTGATTGTTCTTTGCTACCTCGGAGGTTTCCTAAACACCTCTCTGCCCCAACCATCTTTGAACTATAAGGCAAAATGACACCACTAAACTCTGCATTTTGGTCAGCGGCAGTTTGGCTTATGCCCTTGCCCTTTCTCTGTCTGCTTTCCCACATCCCTTGCTCTATACTGATTGCTTGGGCAGCATTTTTTATTTTTATTTTTTTATTGAGTGACTAGTATCACGGTCACCACGGTGTTCACCTCGTCCACGCTTCTTCATGGTAGCACAAACACTTCTAAAACGGCGCTCTAAGAGTTAGACAGACACGCAACAGAGGGGACACCCACGACTTGTGTCCCGCCTCCATCTCCGGGGCTACAAGGGCTGCCACCTGCTCCTGCAGCTGGAACCCACAGTTACCTTCACTTGGAGTTACAAAGCTCAGCCCTGCTGAACCTTCACTGGCAACGGTGACCCACTGACGGTCGCCAGGGTGGTCACCGCGGCAGCTGTGGCTGCTGGATCCTTTTACCCCACCATGAACTTGAGAAAAACTGGACCCAAGAACACACTCCACAGGAGCGCTCCCTCATTCCCGCCTCCCTTTAGCTCCTCTTTTTCAACTGTGTGTCTTCCACAACCCTTCCTCCTCTCAAACAACAACTTGCCCACCCAAGTATACATCCACCCCAACTCCAGCTTTCCACCGTCAGGGGTCTTCCGGCCTCTGCACCGCGCGAACACCTCAGTGGCCTCTGTCTGCCAGTGCTTTCAGGCTCATGATCTCAGCCAGACGGGTCACTGCGCTCCAGGTCCCGCCCCATGCAGAGCTCTTCTGCGCCCTCTTCCCAATCGGTGTCCCTCAAGGCCGGTTCCACCCAGTCCCTTCCCCCAGTCCCTCTAGATTGTTGCTTTGCACCCCCGGGCCGCCCCTCCAAGAACGCTTCGAGCCCGGAGCCCCTGTCCCTGACCGGCCGTGTCCCCGCCGCCCCTGCAGCGCCGCCCAGCGTGGTTCCTGAGCCTCTGACCGGGCGGCTTCAGGGTGGCCCGTCCTCCGGGAGCTGGCCCCGCCCCGGACCCGCTCCGCCCCCGGCCGCCTAGGCTTGATTGGTCGCGCGCCCCCCTCCCGGGGCTCCTCCCCGCCCCCTCGGTCCGTGGGCACCGCCACCTGGTCCAGAGAGTCCCCCGAGGGGACTTAGAGGCTCCGCTCGAGCTGGGCGCGCACTGTGGGGCCGCGGAGGGAGCGCGGGCCAGGGAGGAGGAGCGAAGGTGTAGGACAGAACTTCGCCAGGAACAGGAAACCTACGGCAGGGCAGAGGCGGCGACGGCGGCGCGGGGCCATCGCGGTGTCCCCAGCAGTGGCCTCGCTGCTGCGCGCCAGGCTGAGCCGTTCGGACTCCTTGGACCCCACTTTTCTGAGCTCACCGTTGCGCGCAGCGGAGACAGCGGGGACGGCCACAGGAGCGTGAAGCAGCATGTCTGACAAAATGTCCAGCTTCCTCTACATTGGGGACATCGTGTCCCTCTACGCGGAGGGCTCAGTCAACGGCTTCATCAGCACCCTGGGGTAAGCAGGACGCGCACTGGGTAGCGCCAGCCTGTCCCGGTCCCGGTCCCTCCCGCGCGCCGTGTCCGGGGTCTGCGCCTGGGGCAGCCCGGGGTTCCCTAGATCCCCGCGCGCAGGAAGCCGCGAGCGCTTCTCAGCAACTTCGTAATCTTCAGCCCGAGACACATCCGAGAAGAGGAAGTGGTTCGCACGCCCCGGACAGGCCCCGCGAGGCTGCCTTCCCTGGCGTCTCCTGCCTTGTTTTGACTAAAATGTGTGTTTTCTCCTTGTCTTCCCCACTGCCCTTCTCAGCGCGCGGTTGGAAAGGAAAGAGCGGTGGGTTGAGGTCCCTGGCGTTGGCCAGGAAAGTAGGCGATGTCGCACAGTGCTAATGTGACTGTCCGGCTCGAGGAGATCACCACCAGCCCCTCTTCGCTGAAGTAATTTCCTTTTGGCCTTGCCAAGGGAAGACTCACCCCTTTGGCTTTGCCAGAACTGGCCTCGTGGGCAGCCGGGTTCTAGAACTTCTATCTTCTTTTCCTTTTTCCATCTCCTTAGCCTAATGAAGGGAACAGTTAGGCAGGCTCTCGAGGTTCGAGTTGGCGTTTTAATTGGGGAAATACATATGTATATCCTACAGAAAACCAGCGTGCTGGTTAAGTAGAACCTTTTCTGATTTCTAGAAATTTCCTACACGGTGTGCTTGCAGATGCATAGTTAACTGTGCCCTGCGATGTATTTTAGTACACAGGTGGTTTTGGGCTACCTTTAGACTGTCTAATCTGGGAGTCTTGAGGCTGGTGACCGCTCGCTGTTAAATTTTGGAGTCCTGTCCCCTGGGCTGTGAGGGAGAGCTTTTCGGCGACAGTGTTGCCTGCCTGTCCTTCCCTGGAATTTGCAGTTCCTGTTCTTCCGCATGTCCCACAGACTTCAGGGAGGAAGGAAGTTTTAATTGCCTATCTTGTTCATCTGTGTTACTCCTGAGATTGAAGTGTGGAAGAATTTAGGCAAGTGTTTCCACTGGGTCGAGTTGTTCTGAGAGAATTCATACCCCAAGTGCAGTTTGGGTCCAGGATAGGGCTTTGCCGATGAATTCTGTCAGACCTGCTCTTGGGCCTTGGCAGACATGGAAGGTGTCTGCCAGTTAGTAGCCAACAAGAGGGTCTCTAGAAACAGGAGGTTTGGGCTGTAATCCTCACCCTTTGACTTGCAAACCTTATGTCCCTAGCCGGGATAGGAAATCTATCTGTGCTTCCATCTTCTAGGTCTAAAAGTGGGACCCAGGGACTCCATAAGGGGGCAGAGAGCAAGGAGATGAGAGGCAAAGTGCTTAGCACGGCAGAGCTGTAATGACTGCATTCACCAGGTAATTAGCTGATGCAGTAATTAGCACCACCCAGACTAGGCAGGAGTTCAAGGGCTAGGACGGACTCTGTTTTTGACCCGGCAAGGTGGGTAACATAGGAAACAAACACTGGAAGGGTTGGTGTGGTCAGCTTCCACAGCCGTGGCGTTGTCTCTAGGCGCTGTTGAGACCAGAAGTGACCAACTCAAGAAGCAGAGAGCACTTGTGTCCAAAGCCAGAACTTGTGTCCTCCTGCCTTAGACTCCTGGCTTCCACATGCTAACTCCAGGCAGAAGAATGAGCGTGAACGCTGTTACTGTGGCCTGCACGGTGGCGCCTTGTGCTCAGTGCTTTCTTGCTGCTGATGTGGAAGTCAAGTTTCTTTAGAATGTGCTCGCAGAATGTGTCATTCCCTAGTTGCGAGATAATAGTGTTGAGATGACTGGCAAGGCAGAGTCCAAGTTGAAGACGGTCTTGGACATGCTGCCCTGGGTGGAGCTTGTGGCTCTGATTGGATAGCTGGCTTTTGAAGTGGACTTCTCGGAGGCTCAAGGAAGGTCATAGAACTGCAGAGGTCAGGCAGTTAGTGTGATTGACCCTGCACTCCAGTGTCAACAGGCTTTCAAAGGTCGGTTACAGAAGTCATTGCAATGTCCCCTGATAGAATTTTCTGGCCCTTGGTGAATGATGTTCAAAGGGCACTCCAGGCCGACCCAGTGACGTGGACTTCAGTGGGTTCTGTGTGAGTTTAAATCTAATGAAGTAAGACACAGTAGAAAGGTCCTGTGGCATCTTACATGACAAACACGACGTCTTTATATCTGGTGCTGTTTGGAAAAGCCTGCTATTTCTTTCACATCTGGGCAGTATCTAATAATGTTCACTCTGACATTTTAATTGCCGTGTCAATACAAACAACGTTGTATGTGAGATATGCAAATTATGTAGAAATTTCAAAGATGCTTCCAGAAACTGCATGGCACATCTCATGAGGCTTAAGTTCCAAGGCAAATCATCCCATTGATTTTTAAAAATTAATATGTAGTTTGATAACTAGGGATTCTGTCTTATAAAATATTTTTTTTTCAAAATTCAGGAGTGAGACGTTTCAACTACTGAGAAGTAATTACTCTTAATTTTGTGATGGCTTGATTAAGGTTGCAGAATATAGGGCCAGTGTTCCATTTTTATAGAAAAGTACTTGAGATTTTCAGTTGAAAGGGGGGAACTTGTTTGTCCTCACAGTTTGGAGGCTTCAGGTCTACAGTCTATGGATTCTGTTGCTTTGGAATGACAGTGGCATAGTATAGATGGCAGGTGCCCGTGAGCAGGGGCACAGGGTTAGGGTGTGCTCCCAGTGACTCACCACCCTGTGTGTGTGCGCACGTGCATGTGTGTCTCTGTGTGTGTAAGTGTGCATGTGTATGTATGTGTGTAAGTGTGCATGTGTATGTATGTGTGCACATGTGTATATGTGTGTAAGTGTGCATGTATGCAGGTGTATGTGTGTGCATGTGTGTATGTGCATGCATGTGTGTGTAAGTGTGCATGTGTATGTATGTGTGTGCTTGTGTGTATGTTTGTAAGTGTGCATGTGTGCATGTGCATGTGTGTGAGTCTGCATGTGCATGTATGTGTGTGCATGTGTGTATGTTTGTAAGTGTGCATGTGTGTATGTGTGTGCATGTGCATGTGTGTGAGTCTGCATGTGTATGTATGTGTAAACATGTGTGAATGTGTGTAAATGTGCATATGTGTATGTGTGCGTGCATGTGTGTGTAAGTGTGCGTGTGTGTGTGTGCTACACATGTGGAGGACAGAGGCTCTGCTGGATAGATTTTGTCACCTTAGGGCAAACTACAATCACCTAGCAAGAGGCAGTATCAGTTAAAGAATTGTCTCTGTCAGATTGGTCTATGGGATTGGTCTGTAGGGAATTTTCTTAATTAATGATTTATGTGGGAAAGCCCAGTCCACTCTGGGCAGAGTCAACCCTGGGTAGATAGTCCTGGGGAGCGTAAAAAAGCAGGTCAGACAAGCCTGGAAGAGCAAGCCAGCCGGGAAACAGCATGTCTCAGTGACTTCTGCCTCAGTTCCTGCCTCCAGGCTTCTGCCTTGAGTTCTTGTCTTGACTTCCCTCGAAGATGTAACCTGTAAGTCACGTACACCCTGGTAACTTTCTAGTTAGTGTTACATCCCACACCAGGAAAGTAAGCTAAGACAGAGGCCTTCCCCTTGGCCCTGCCTAGCAGGGACGGGAGATAAGGACAGCACCCGTGACACATGGGCCTTTAGGGGACGGACCGGGACAGTTATGATTTTGTAGGTTATTTTTATTGTTTGTGGCTAGGCATGGTTAATTTTTTTTAAAGTTTTCTTTAAATTAGCTTATAAAGAGTTAGGCTTCATTATGGTATTTTCCGAACATTTTTGTTTGTTTCTCTTTCCCCATTCTTCTCCCTTCCCCTCCCTCCATGGTGCCCTTTTACCCACCCCCTTTCATGCCAGTGTGATCTTTTCATGCATGGTTTCAATGTGTAGGACTTTATTTATTTTGGGTAATCAGAAGGGTGTATTCCCAAGCCAAATAGAATATTTTAAAAAGTCTTTTATCTTATTTTATGTGTATAGGGGTTTTTGCCTCATGTATATCTGTGTGGCACGTGTGTGCCATGCCTGTGGAGGTCAGACGAGGTCACTGGAATCCCAGAACTGGAGTTGTGGATGGCTCTGAGCTGCCATGTAGGTGCTGGGAATTGAACCCCGGTCCTCTGCAAGAGCAGGCCTCGTCTGTGGAGCCTCACAAGTGACATCTTGCCTAAGTGGTTGTTGAAATATTCCTTCCTCATCATGGGGTAATTGTTAGAGATTTTCACGCCGTCAGAGCGGAGCCACAGCCTTGTCTCCTTGTCTCCAAGCTGCTGACCTCTGCTCACAGGCAGAGGAGAGCCTTCCCCGTGGACTTCCTCACCCTTCTGCTCCTGTGTCTGTTGTCTTGGGCCCGCTGCTAATCAGCACGTGACCCTGCTCCTGTCAGTGCCTCTTCGCACGCACGTCAGCCTCAGAAAATGTAGTTCTCTCTGTGAGTGCCACAGCGCACACGCGGGGTTCAGTTCACTCTTTCCTGGCAGTGGGACAGGTCCCAGGGAGGGAGCTAGTGCTCACCAACCATCCCACTGGCCCTTCAGGTGGTGGCAAAGTCCCTGGAACACTGCAGTCCTGGCGCTCCCCTGTAGACCAGGCTAGCCTTGGACTCACAGAGGTCTGTCTACCTCTGCCTGCTGAGTGCTGGCTTTAACAGCGTGTGCCACCACACCCAAACTGATGTTTCTTAATGTAAGTTTTTATCTAAAAAGCTGTATAAGATACCCTTGTATTGACTTAATGGGAAACCCACCTTACATCCTAGATTGTGTATATATTTTGAGTGAATGGATTTTTTTCTTTTTTTAGTGATATCTTAAGAGTTATAGTTTTCTCTTCTTCTTCTTCTTCTTCTTCTTCTTCTTCTTCTTCTTCTTCTTCTTCTTCTTCTTCTTCTTCTTCTTCTTCTTCTTCTTCTTCTTCTCCTTCTCCTTCTCCTTCTCCTTCTCCTTCTCCTTCTCCTTCCCCTTCCCCTTCCTCTCCTTCTCCTTCCTCT